AATAATAGTCACATGTAGACATAACAGTTATTATTATTACTATTGTACTATTACAAATAATTATCATTACACTTCATTGAAAGGAGTTAATGTTTCCTTGAAATTCACTGAGTTGTCTTACATCTATTCCTGTAGCACCAAACGAGACAGGCTATTAGCAGGACAGTCATGATTAGACCAACCAGTATTGTGGCATACACCAACACTTCATGGAATATCGAGCTATAGATCATGTCCATACGATAAATTAAGTTATCTGATCCACACACAGTTGTGTTGAGCTGTGCAAGCAAGCAAAGATCACTGACAGAACCTTCAGAATAGAAATAACTGGATCTTATCCTAATCCTGGAAGAGATGTTCTGTACATGTACTATTGCACTGTCAATAATGTCATCAGGAGGTACATTAAAGTCATAGACCATTTTGTTAATGCCCCACGTATTGACTTGAGAGCAATTGAAAGGGAATTGATCACAGCGAAAGAAGTAGTATGAAGACTCAGTAACATCTATTGTGACTGCTTCTTCTCCTACTTTTAGCAAAGCACAGAGAGCTTCATGATCAGTTGCAGATGGACAATGATGACCACGAAACTGTTCCTTAACAGCAGAATCAGCATCAACTTCTTCCGAGAAGAGCCAAATTTCGTACGGTCTTATGACGCTTTCACTAATGGTAACACTGGAACCAGAAACAAGATAATTAAAATCAATATGAGGAAGAAAGCTTAATACTTCTTCCCTTGTTTCAATGTTGCTACACTTTGCTAGCAATACCTCTGCACTACAAGTGTCTTCTTGACCCCAGAGCACTATATCGAGTGAGGGAGGTACATATGCTGGGAGAGGAAGACGTATTGTGTCTCCTGGTAATATGGTGACTGTTTCTTCTTGCTTGTAGCTGAAAGCAAGTGTAAGCAGTGAAACTTCTACTGAAATTGCAACAATCAAGCAGAATATTAAGGAAACACAGGCTGCAACTAATGATTGAAATAAATTACATTATAGATAAGAATTATATTACTTTTGTAATTTGTCATTTTTGTATCATGAGTGCCTATGTAATTTTAAAAGTTTGATCAGTCATTGCTACAACTATTTTTAAAAGAGAGCTTACCTGTTTTAGGAGATATAAGAGGGTCAGTGTCTTTTGGATCAGTGCCTTTTGCATCAAAATTCAGTGAAGGAGAGCCAGGCATTAAAGATGTTGGTGTAGTTGCCATCTCATCAGTCATTGCTTTGTAAGCAGCATTAAGAATCTCACATGCTTTTGCATCATTATCATCACTTGGAGATATGTTACTCTTCCATGCTGTAAAGATAGCAAGAGCAATGACTGCTTCATATTCTCCTTTATTTTGATTCAGGACTATGATATTATCAATATCAGCACTCTCCATTTTTAGAGCTAAGCCAAAATTTTTGAGCTTGGCAATATCAACATTGCTTTTAAGGCGATTATCAAATAGAGTCTCTAATATTGGGTAAACAGCAGATTGTTTAAGCTCTGTGAAAGAAACATACAAAACATTTACAACAAATTTAATTTTGTATACACTGACCAACAGTAGTAGTTCTTCGACGTAGGGCCAAGTCACTACGACGATGACCACATTTAGTAAAAGCGTTAGATAATTGGTCATGGTCTTCCTGGGTCAATTGAGGTCCCTTGCTTTTTCTCCACTCCTTGTATATTTGTAAGCCATGTAGTTTGGAATCTGCACTATCAGCTTTTATGGTTTGAATTTTTTCTAGCTTAACCCCTAGATTTACACCAAAGACTGTCATATCACCCGGGGAGAAGTTTTGCGTAGCATCTACGACCTTATCTTCACTGTATTCTTCTGCATTAGCTAGAAAATGATTCTACTCACAATTCAGCCAACTAAAACTAACTAACCTCGATTATTCTCTGCCTCTGATGTTGCTCTTTGTTCCCCCACATTTTGTACACCATCTCCTTCTAGATTTATACAAAGCATAACAACTAAGCCAAAATTTAAGGACTAACCAATACAAGCCATCTTGGTTAACTGTAGTGTCAGACTACAGCTGAGAAGGGTGTGGCTAGTAGAAATTCTATGGGCCATAGATATTAGCATAATATGCAGCATTAGCTACCAGCAGATTGTTTTGACCATGGGTTTTCGCTTCACTTTTTATGTTATTTCAATAATAACAATAATATTAAAACAAAAAAAAAACAACAACTATAAATAGAATAAACCTAAAAAACAACAATTCTTAATATAAATTAACACCTTTTTGTAATTATTGTAAAGTTGAAAACTCTGCTACATGAAAGTCTAGCACTGACAGCTCACCCCAATTCTTACTTCTATTTCGGTCATATCGATTAAAAATATCTTGTGTAGCTTCGTAAAGGGTAATAAAATCAGACTCTTATTATTTTATCCAGAAATCTTCTGCAAGTCTGGCATGATGTCTCAAGAGTAAATGTTT